TGTTAGGAGGCCCCTATTCCCCACCCCCAGCTACAATCCCTAGAGTTTCCTGTGAAGAGGGATTGATTGTTAAGAGAATCATCACTCTGTGGGGGGCATAGGGGTGTCTCATAACACCTCTCAGCACTCGTAATAAACTACAGCACCCAAAACTCTGGGGGAAGCCATGACTGTTTCAAGTCATCATAGTGCTTCTTTTCGAAAGCCCTTTATTGTCATTTTTCATAACAAAAGTGTTACATACTTGTGCAGAGGCTTAATACGATAGTAATGATAGTCATAAAACATAGGGAGTGTTAGTTTCTGTTTGCCACTGAGCAGCTGCTTGGAGTCACAGGACTCTGTTTACATTCCAGACACATTCCAGGCTATTGGAAGTCTCACGGGAATGGGAGACGGATGTGACGTTACTGGTTTCCTGTTCCTTTGTTCCTTTGTTGTTCAGTTGCTCTCTGCTTTCATAGAGAGAGAATGTATATTTCTTTGCTGTCTGCATAGTAAGAAATAAAGCATAGCGATGTAGCCATGAATCTCGTCACTTCCCTGTGCTGGAAACTCTGCTGAACGAGAATGTGCCTGAGGCCTCATCAAAGGCTCAGGTCGTTAATTATTCGTCGGGAGGGCGATTCTAGAGGAAGATGAGCTTTATCAGCTTGGCCGAGCGGAGATCCCGACAGGGAGATGGGGGACATAAAATGTGCAATACAGCTTAAGACAGCAATTGTATATGAAGAAAGGGAAGAAAGTTAGCTTACTTTTCTATAAAACCTCTCCATAATGTTGTGAATGGGGCCTTGGTCATGTCAGACCACATTTCGTTTTCCTCTGTGTCCATGCTACTTCCTTCTCTGTTCTCTCTCCCTGGGTCCCTCTCACTTTCTCTTTTCTCTGTGCACAACATTCTACACCTTCCCTTCTTACTTCTCCCTGGGTTCTATACCGGCACAGAAGTAGACCTGAGCACTCATCTCATGGGATACAAATGATAAAATAGAGCTTCCTTGTCTGATCACGAACAGAATGGGAAACAGCTCCACGGGGGGCTATCCTACAGTTCAACCCGCCGACACTCTGAAAGTACGGCTTTGTCTAGAGAATCTCTCTCACACACGCCACTGGAGAAGTAAAACTGCATTTCCCCCGTGCACGCTGGGCCCTGTAGCTGGCATCAGAGCAGATCCTTTGTGTCCTATCCTTTGTCCTTCTGAAAGACAACCTCAGCCGCCCTATCCATCTCACACTCACAGGGAAAACATCCCCGCAGCCCCATCAGTGCGGGACTGTCAAAGGAGCAAGAATGGTTGGAGCCATAAATAGAACATTTTATTTTTCATCCCCCTACGTACTGCCCCAGACAGTCTTTGTGGAGGAGATGATTGTCTGCTGGTAAGCATCCTGGGGGTGGGGAGGGGGAGAGAAGCACAATTCATTTTTCTGTGGGTATACAGGCGAGGAGCGGGGTATGTCATTTTTTCATTTTCCTGGAAGGACACCTGTCAAGCTGGAGGCGACATCTTAGGATGTATCTGCACTGGGCTTGGGGGTGGGATGATGCTCACTAAGTGCTGTCAAGGAGGGGGTCGCTTTCCCGAGTCCTCCCTCCAAGCTACTAATCAATCACATGCAGGCACCGAACGGGTTACAGTGGTACTTCGGGTTAAGAACTTAATTCGTTCTGGAGGTCCGTTCTTAACCTGAAACTGTTCTTAACCTGAAGCACCACTTTAGCTGATGGGGCCTCCTAGTGCTGCCACGCCGCCGGAGCATGATTTCTGTTCTCATCCTGAAGCAAAGTTCTTAACCCGAGGTACTATTTCTGGGTTTGCAGAGTCTGTAACCTGAAGCATCTGTAACCCAAGGTAGCACTGTACTAGGCTTTATCGGCCAGCGTGGTGTAGTGGTTAAGAGCGGTAGTCTCGTAATCTGGTGAACCGGGTTCGCTTCCCCGCTCCTCCACATGCAGCTGCTGGGTGACCTTGGGCTAGTCACACTTCTTTGAAGTCTCTCAGCCTCACTCACCTCACAGAGTGTTTGTTGTGGGGGAGGAAGAGAAAGGAGATTGTTAGCCGCTTTGAGACTCCTTAGGGTAGTGATAAAGGGGGATATCAAATCCAAACGACTCCTCCTCCTCCTCCTCTTCTCTGGCACCATCTACAGAACATCAAATAGCAAGTCTAAAACACAGCGTGTTCTCTCCCTCCCCTGACAGGTTAATGCAAAGATTTATAGGGGCTGGGGAATGCTGGCAACCAGCCAATCCCATCACATGCCCCCCCCCCACTTTGGGGACTAATTGTTACCACCTGCCTGAGGGGCCCCCACCCAGCAGCACTTGCTTACAGGATCACTACTTCGTGACATCCCTTCTTTTCTCTGAAGATGAAATTCTCAATGTTAGAATTTTCATCTTCAGGTAGAACTGAACCACAAACAATATATGTACTATAACCATTTTAAAACCAACGAAAACAGAGAAAATAAGTTACAAAACGAGAAACAGACATAACAAAAAAATATCCATAGTACGTACTGCAAGATTAAAACACACCAGTTAAAATTAACTGTAATCCTCATAATCCACATAGATTCTAAATAAAAAAATCAGCAACTTTATTAGCACTTCCTTTTAAATGAACTGTGTCAAAATTGAGACTTTGGGCACAATGGAGGACTGTAATTTGGATGAATTATAATATGCAGTTGCCAAAGTATTTAAAGGACCAATGGAGGTGAGGAAGGAAGTCCTAAGACTCGGAAGAATCTTGTTTTATTTTCAATATTTTTAAGAATGTTAATCATGTGACTGATTGTATAAAACTAAATAAAAAATATTTAAAAACAAAACAAAAACAAAACCGAAATCCTGAAGAGTGAGATTCCAACTTAAAAGTTTTGGGTTAGAATATTTTACTCTGTATAACCAACATAATGGGGAATGATCTGTTTCAGGTGTAAACCGCTGACCCCAGAGGTAAGATCGTAATTTATTAAGGGCCCATACTACAGCTAAACCACAGCATAATTACTTCTCGACCACAGCATAATTACGTTCTCTGGGAAATAACTTCTTACTGATAAATACAACAGGACGTAGTTCACCTTTGTCATCTTGTTGAAGCAGGGTGGCACCAAGACCAGCTTCTGAAGCGTCGGTCTGAACTACGAAAGGCTTCCTTTGGATCAGGTGCCATTAACAGCTGAGACCGCAGTTGTGCTGGTCCCAGGGGGGTTACCGTGCGGCGTGGTCTGAGTCCGGTCCTGGGTCGAGGGTCTAGAGGCTGTCTGTCAAGGGCGAAGTGGGGTCCAAGGCAAGGAGCCGGGCGTGGTCAGGAACTCCGGAAGAGCAGGTCAGGGTGCTGGCAGGAACAGGTTTCCAGTGATGTTGCTCCTGCAACCTGGGACTGGGCGGGCTGGCCTTTATCTCCTCTGGGGCCTAGGGCGGTCCCGGCCCACAGGTGACTCGCCTCTCTTGGCCTTAAGGCGAGCACTCCTCCTGCGAGAACTTAGTTCCCTCCACCTCTCTGCCCTGAGCCTCTGCAGCTCAGGAGAGGCTGGAGGGTTACTGGACCCAGAGGCAACCTCACCTTCCCCTGACAGGGCTGGGAGAGGAGCACCTGCAGGCAACGGGTCCTCAATCACCTCCGGAGCCAGAGCGGATTCAGCTGGTGTCTGCTCGTGAGGATCCGGCACAGGTGTGGGCCCTTCAGATTCAAGCCCCTGCCCTGGCTCAGCCGGCCCTGGAGGCAGAGACTCCTGTGCAGGCTGGGATTCTTCAGGTTCAGCCTCTGAATCAGATTCCCAGGCCATCACAGCAGTAAAGCTTGCTTTAGGGCATTAAAAGCATTTTGACAGATATCGTTAAATTCTAACCCTTTCCTGGTTCCAGGAATTTAGGAGAGTCTTGCCCTTCCCACCCGCCCCCCGCCCCCAAAACTTATATTGAGCAAGTTGCATCACCACATTGCCCTGGTCCAGGTGCAATTGGAAATTGTGAAAATTGCTTTTCACTATGTGAGTGAGCTGTGGATTACCACAGGTTTGTGAGCTCCATGCACCACAAGAGAAAATCACAAACATCTGCTTCCAGTGTTTTGTTGTTTTGTTTTAAAAAAGCACAACCGGTTTCCCATGACATCAGATCTCAGAGAACAGTGGCTTTTTTAAGGATTACATTCAATGAAAACAAGCCAGGTTCTGAAACCGCACTTTGATCCTGACTTATTCTAATTAATCATTATTTAAACAAGCCAAGGTTTCCCTGAGTTTGGATGTTACAGGGAATTGTGGTTTGTTTCGTAGCACAAGGCTTGCCACACTTCGTCCGTGTAGTGGGATGCTGTTTTTGCATTGCGTGTGAACCAGCCACTGTCGTGCCTTTCATCAGTGACTAAGATTGTAGTTGGGTTTCTTTTTCACCCTTAGTAAGTTAAACTTTGAAAAGAAAGAAAAAGGGGGAAAAAGTGTAAACAGTTGAACAATTCCGAAATTTGCATTCTAAAATTTGACAAAATTCCAAACACACAAAATGCAACTCCCATCTTCAAGAAAAACTATTGAATCAGACTCAGTTGCCATGAAGCAGGAATCATCAGATGTCTTACAAAGACTCTTTTTTTATCCAGGCTTTCCCTGGTCCACAAGATTGGACCCACTTGTATGGGTTAGAATTCTCTGGATGTCTTTTTTTATTCATATGCTTTCATGTGTTTTTATATTACTTGGGCTGTATCTAAACACATCAAAAAAACCTTTACAGAAAATGTGTTGTAAAACTCATAATGGGAAACAACGTTGCCGAAAGACGGAGCTCCACAGCGCCATCTGGTGTCACAGTGTTATAACGCATTTAAAACGCTTTTTCTTTACTAATGTAGCTGACTCCTTGAATTAGATTATCATTTTAGTTTTAATGATATATTCATAGAATCGTAGAATTGTAGAGTTGGAAGGGACACTGAGGATCTTCTGGTCCAACCCCCTGCAATGCAGGAATAAGCAGCTGCCCCCTACAGGAATCGAACCTGCAACCTTGGGCATTATCAGCATCACACTCTAAACAACTGAGCCATCCAGGCTGATTCTTTGGGGTTTTTCCTGCACCATCTAAAGTGGTATATAAATAAATTCTAATAAATAAAATGCAACAAATGCATCAGACACGTACCGTTGATTAAATCAAACTAATCAATAATAGCAGCATGAGAATAATAAAACCAGTGGGTGGTCTTCGAACTTCCTCCAGTCATAGAGTAAGTTAATTCAGGCTGGGGGTTAAGAAGGGCTTTAGGGAATCTGCTAAGCAGTCGTCCCCCCCCCCCCATGCTGAGCTGCAAATTAGCTCTTCAGATCACCTGATTTTGTTGGGCAGAAAGCTGCATTAGATATCCCGCTTATCTTTAAGGGCGTGCATTCAGAAAAGGGCAGCCGAAATGATCAAGAGGATGGAATGACCCCCCCACGAGAAAAGGCTGCAGCATTTGGGACTTTTTAGTTCAGAGACAAGGTGAGTCAGAAGCGACATTATAGAAGTTTGTGAAATCATACACGGCATGGAGAAAGCAGATAAAGAATTTTTTTTCCTCCCTGTTTCGTAACACTAGAACTCATGGGCACCCAATGAGGCTAAATGTTGGGAAATAAAAGAAAGGACATTTTTATGCAACACAGAGTTAAAACTATAGAACTCCCTCCTGCAGGGTCACTGACTTGGATGACTTTAAAAGAGGATGAGACCAGCTCATGGAGGACTGCACCTCTCAGAATTGTACTGATTCTAATCAATTTTCTTGCATGATGGTTCCCAAGATCAAGGAACAGGTTTCTGTCTAGCTTTGGGTGCAAGCGGACACTATTTTGGCTCTAGATCAGCAGTTCTCAACCTGTGGGTCCCCAGATGTTGTTGGACTACAACTCCCATCATCCCTGAGCTCTGGCCTTGCTAGCTAGGGGTGATGGGAGTTGTAGTTCAACAACATCTGGGGACCCACAGGTTGAGAAAGGCTGCTCTAGATGGTGGACTGAACCTTTCCAAACTGCAATGATTTCAACCACTGATCTCAAAACTGAACTGATATTTTGGTTTCCTTGGATTCCTGAGCAATGAGGCTGCTAGCCTGGTGTAAAACCGATAGACGTTTGCCCTACAGCAGATGGCCTCTGTTTCTGATTTCTTTCCTAAAGAGAGCTATTTCATTTCTTCCATTTGTCCCTTAACAAGCAGCTGTAAAACAAAAAGCCGGGCACATTGTTTCCAGTTCTTGCAGAAGAATTAGCCTCCTGCTGCCAAAAAGAGGGGTGACAAGAGCTGCCCATGTCCTATGCCTCTATTACTTTGCACTATTACTTAGAACAATGAGGCAAAAGGCAATTTTCTTGAGACACTCACAAATCCATTCCCTGTTCCTCTCCAGTCACTGGGGGTGGGGGGAAAGAACACTTGATAGAAGAGTGAGAAAATAAGAACTCAAAAGACCTCCTCTCACATCCTGTAGCATCTAGGACAGGGGTCAGCAAACTTTTTCAGCAGGGGGCAGGTCCACTGTCCATCAGATCTTGTGGGGGGCTGGACTATATTTTGGGGAAAAAAGGAATGAATTCCTATGTCCCACAGATAACCCAGAGATGCATTTTAAATATAAGGACACATTCTACTCATGTAAAAACACGCTGATTCCTGAACCGTCCACAGGCCGGATTTAGAAGGCAATTGGGCCAGATCCGGCCCCCGGGCCTTAATTTGCCTACCCATGATCTAGGAGCTGGCAGACATGGTGTGTGTTTCTCCTCACCTTGCAAACTATGGGGTGTGGGTCATTCCCTCCCTGCCCCATAGCCTTGAAACTCCAACTAATTTCTCAGGCCCACCAATTATTTTTGAAACATCTGTATCTACATCTATCGATATGGATATCTTCCTCTATACATAAAAATGGAATGCTGTCGTCGCATAGCCTCCATTGCAGGATTTGTAGTGCCTCATCACAATCTGGGATTTTCATGAAGAAAAACCCAAGAGGCCAAGAAAAGCAAGCTTAGCTGCATGAGGTGTTGGGGGGCTCCCTAAGGAGTTAATTTGGGGAGAATGGCGGGTGTGTGTGAGAGAGAGTAGAGCAAGTGGGGATATAGAATATATGTGTGTGCTTGTATCCTGTATCATCATCATCGTTATTTTATTTATTATTTGTTAAATTTGTGTACAGTCCTAGAACTGTAGATCTCATGGTGACTCACAACATAAAATTACAACATGAAAAACACAAATTACATAATAAAAATAAGAACAGAGGCAAACCAATAACCCCCCACCCTTCCATAGCACATTTAAAAGGGCATTGGATGTCTATCAGCCCAAGGCCTGGTTAAAGACCAGGTGTATAATGAAGGCGTCAGCCGAACCTTCCTTGGGAGAGCATTCCACAAACGGGGAGCCAATTCAGAAAAGGCCCGTTCTCGTGTTGCCACCCTCCAGACATCTCATATCACACCCAGGGCAAGATGGCAATTGGTGAGAAACCTCAAAGACAGTCAGGCATACCCAAGTGCCTTCTGGGGAAACCACTGGTTGGGTAAGTTCGCAACAGCTTAGAAAGAGAGATGGCTAATGTGGCCACATTCCTACCTTAGGAACTCTGGGAATTGAAGCTTCATACTTCATACTTTCTCCAAACTCTCAAAACCTCTTCAGGTTGCCTGAATGGAGCTTAGACCAAAGTGTGCATAGGAACTAACCTGCACAGAGGAAAAATTACATACATCTCTGCCCCCTCCCACTTTAGGGAAGCTTTTAATGTTTAATACACTATTGTATTTTAATATTCTGTTGGAAGCCAGATGGAGTATTTATACTCCAGATGGGCGGAGTATTATTATTATTATTATTATTATTATTATTATTATTATTTTACCCCTGGCCCCTCCCACCACTGGTATGTGGCCCCCAGAAGATTGCCCAGACATGAACATGGCTCTCAGTTTGGAAAAACGCCCCCACCCCAATCTAGCTGTTCTCTGAAGGGCCCTCATTGACTCTGGTGCCTGGAAACCCCAAATTTGCAACAGAGGCTCGCCGTCCCATGTTCTCCAAAGGGGGGGGGGCAACTGGCATGATATCAGAGGTGCTATTTGTGGGATAATTAATTCTCTTCTGATCATCTGCTTTGCCAAACACTAGCTGGCAGGAGTTAATCATGCATAGGAAATGAATCCGTTCTCCGCCTTAATGAGTATTGAATCAAGATCAGCATCTGTTTATTCCCCTACACTTTTTCGTTGTCTTGGCAGTTTGAACAATTAATTGCACCAATAATCCACTTTCTGCCGTTAAAAGGAAAGGGGCCCCTCAAAGCAAACAGGCTTCCCCTCCTGTCCTTGTCTGTCTTCATTTAAAATGCAGAGATGCATTTTAAATAAAAGCACATGTTCTACTCATGTAAAAACACGCTGATTCCTGGACCATCCGCAGGCTGGATTTAGAAGGCAATTGGGCCGGATCCGGCCCCCGGGCCTTAGTTTGCCTACCCATGGTCTATAATGTCATTCATGCCTTGTTCACCCCACAAAGCTTTCAGGTGTTTGGTAAGCTTCTCCAGTCCTGCCACTGCCCATACAGTGGTACCTCAGGTTACATACGCTTCAGGTTACATACGCTTCAGGTTACATACGCTTCAGGTTACAGACTCTGCTAACCCAGAAATAGTGCTTCAGGTTAAGAACTTTGCTTCAGGATGAGAACAGAAATCGGGCTCCGGCAGCACTGTTCTTAACCTGAAGCACCACTTTAGCTAATAGGGCCTCCAGCTGCCGCTGGGCCGCCGGAGCACGATTTCTGTTCTCATCCTGAACCAAAGTTCTTAACCTGATGTACTATTTCTGGGTTAGCGGAGTCTGTAACCTGAAGCGTATGTAACCCGAGGTACCACTGTAAATGATTCTGTGATGAGACGGGCCCTTGGCCTGACCCAACAGGGTTCTTCTGATGTTCTGATGTTCTCCATTTGAAGGATTGTCTGGTCTGTGTCTAGTTTAAAAATTAAACAAAAACATTGGGAAGAGAAGGCACCTTTTATCATATGTGGTGGAAATGTAAGGTAGAAAAGGAATTTTGGAAATGATATTTAATGAGTCGGAATTTTTTTATTTTTTTTAAATAACCTTTTCTTTAAAAACTCTGAAGCTTTCCTTTTAGGAATACTAGGTGCTGAAATCCCAAGGGAGCAGAAAAGACTATTTATGTATGTGACTACAACTGCATGGATGTTATTGGCCCAGAGATGGAAATAAGATAAAGTCCCTACCATAGAAGAATGGCAGATCAAGTTGATGGATTATGCCAAAATGGCTAAAATGACCGGAAGAATCAGAAATCAGGAAGACCAATAGTTTAATAAGGAATGGGGGAAATTGATAACTTATCTTAAAGACCATTGTAAACAGTTAAAATCGTTTGTAGGATTGGAATATTGTTTGTTGTTTAATGGTGAATTTTGGATACACTGGAGAGTTGAAATATCTGGATTATTATAAAAGATGCAGGAGGAAATGATTAACAGTAGGACCCACAAAGGGGAGTAAGGAAGTCCAAGAGATTCCTTGGAATCTTGTTTTTATGTTGTATGTTGAATATGTGACTCTAAAATTTCAATCTGAAAAACCAAATAAATAAATTTCAAAAACTACAACAACAACACTGGGAAGGGAGAGTTGAGAGGGGAGCCTTGAAGCTACCCATCAACACCTGGGTGCAGGGACACGGGTGCACCTTATCAGTCTTCACTGCTATGGTGAGATGCACTGCATTTCTGCATCAATGATGATGCATCTAGTTAGCCACTGTTAGAACAGGACGCTGGACAAGATGGACCACTGGCCTGATCCAGCAGGGCTCTTTGGGTGTTCTTATGGGTGGAAGCTCAGTGATAGAGGTCTTCATTGATATGCGGAAGATTCTGATCAGCGGTGAGTGGTGGCCATTGAGGCAGGAAGCAGGAGGCCCAACAGTAGGGGGAGCCAGAGGCAATGACGGACAGAGCCAGCTAATGCTAGCTTTGCCCCCATACTTCTCTCTGCTGGGTTCTAC